CAACTTTTGTAACTATCAAAAAAAATCGCCCGGCTACCGAGGCGATATTGCGTATACAGCCGCATATACGCCAATTGTAAAGTCTACATGCAGCCGTGATGTAGACTTATCTTCTGGAGTAGTTTTAATCACAAAGTTAACGTATAGATTCCAGTACTGGAAACAGTGGAATCCTCCAAAGAACAGCATATTGTCCAACGCTACCCATGGCTACCTGCATCTGACCCTGAGTACACTACAACAAACCCCGAAATACAACGTACCGCCTCAACAAGCAATTCTAAATAGCGTCCGCTCTCAGTGATAGTAGTCGCCATAGTCATAACGGTTGGACGCCCGACCACCACTATATCCCCATTGTCTGCGCACCCACCGCTGATGGTATGTCGAATAGTCTCTCTCGCCATCCAAGCCGAGCTGCCTAGCAACATTGACATATCCATCCTCATTGACCTCTAGTCCCGTCGTGTCAATTTCGCCCAGCTTGCCCTCCAGCCCAGTCTCCTGTGGCCACTTGGCTCGACAGTACGGACACGTCGCTGTGCCCATGGAGATGGCGATCCACTTCTGCATACAGTCCTTGTGTACGTTATTTCCACAACTAGACTTGCAGTAAACCGTGTGGTCTTTGTCTTCAAGCTCGTCGTAGCAAATAGGACACTCGCCTTCTATAGGCTTACGGTTCGTGTCTTCTCCTTCTGTCTCGGTTCCATCCTTGCCATTGGTCTCGACACCTGGAATCGGCGGCGCATTCTGGATGAGCTCACGTAATTCGGAACTGAGCAGCGCGAGCTGGTATGCAGTCTCATCTCGAGCTTTGAGTACGCGAAGCATGACATATACGACGTGCTTGCATTGATTTCCCTTTAGAGCATGTGGGCAGTCGCATCGAGGTGTAAGGTCGATTCGAACGGTGTAGACGTTACCAGTCGATCCCGCAATTCGGACCCTCTCCTGAGGAATATCCTCGGTACCGCATCGTTCGCGCGAGAGAACAGTGAGGCGCTGTGTGAGCGCCCTTTCCTTGACGACTAGATAGCTTTGCGGCGCTCTGGTGCGGAACTGCCTGAGACGCTTCTCCTCTACAGGCGCATCACTGTTGCGCTTGGCCCTCTTCCTAGGAGACGGTTCTGGTGAGCTAGCGGTGAGATCAATGATTTCAGGAGCTCGTTTGGTCTTCTTTGCTCTTTGGGGTGTTGATTGTGAGGCATGAGCTACATCCTCATCGCCTTCAGGGGATGCGACCGATTTGCGCTTACGCGCTGGCTGCCCGGGCGAAAGGCGATCATCTATTGTACCGGTAAGCCAGGAATGATTGCGTGATGGTCTAAACATTTTACAGATGTGATTAAAGCGCACTGTAAATAAAGTAGGAGCTTGCGACGGAGAAAACAGAACAATGATGTTGTTCGACGGCGAAGATGTGGCGACGGTCGACAAAGACAACGACGTGCAATTGTAGAGGGCTGCTGTGGATCGCCAGGGCTAAACACACACGAAAACACGTGATTCCCCCCTCACTTGCCGGGCCTGCAGCACTCTCTCAAACATCACCAGAAGTCGCAGTTAAACTAGAGCTTCTTTCAGAATGTTCTTTGTAGGTACCTCATGTCACTCTATTCTTTTCCTTCCACTCCCGCGCCGCTTCCTCATATGTACAAAACTCCACCTCCGCACCCCATCCTTGCATCCACTTCAACACCCTCTCGATCATGCCAATGACATGTGCCATTCCGCTCGTATCTGGATGTAATACTAGTGGAAACACCATGGTATCCGCTTCTCCTAGATCATCCACCTCCCCCCGAATCCACTCAAACTTATCTTTCCACATGTTCTCAACCACGCGGACATCAACATAGCCCTGCGAGTTTGGCGTATTGGGGTAGAATTGTAGAGGTGTCATGTCTTCGGCATACCAGTTCGCCGGTATCTCCACGAGCGTTTTGCTTGTTGGTGCGCTGGGTTTGGGGACCGGCTTCATCCAGTCTTTCGCCGAGGCATTCACCTCATATCGTGGTGGAATGATTGGCGGTTGGCTTGGGAGGTAGTATGGTTTGCTGTCATGATGAGAGAGCGATGAATCGTACAAAAAGGCGTAGTTCTCCAGTAATTCAACCGTCGTTTCGCGGAGTTGATACAATGGGGCACGATATCCGAGTGGCCGCTTCCCGAGAAGCTCTTGGTACAGCGATATGCAGTGTTCGAGAACTTCACGCTCTTGTGTGGGTGTGAGTTGGGATGCGCCCTCGTGGCAGTATCCGTGGAGTCCGATTTCTGCACCACTGTCCCTGATGCCTTTGAACTCTTCTGGGAAGCTTTCGGCAGAGTGCATGGGCACGAACCAGGTCACTTTGTCCTCAATGTCCAGCTTCTTGAAAAGCTTCAAGAGACGGGGGACACCAACGTAAGCGGAGAAGAAGCCCGAGCTGTAATCAGCAAGGTTATTGTTTGGATTTTGACCCGTGCCTAGCCATCCTGAGACAGCATCAAAGTCAACTGAGACGAGCACCTTGATCTTGGGCCTTGTAGGAGAGGTGACTGTCCAATGCTTGAGAGCATTAGTCGGACTGGCCGGTCTTGGTGGACTGACTTGCATGGCCGTAGACGGTTGATCTCGAGCTGATATCTGCACGCCCTCTGTCAAAGTACCAAAGATCTCGGTTGCTGCGTTTGTGGATGGTGTGACAAGCTCATTGGCAGTCTGTTGAGATTTACAAATCTCATCCTCGGACCAGACTATTCGCCCCTCCATCCCACCATCTACCGATATGCACTGGCCGGAGATATGACCCGCTGCTCGATGGCTGGCGAGGAAGGCCGCTGCTCTTGCCACATCAGTAGGTTGTGCAATCCTCCTCAGCGGAACACTGTTCATGTCAGCAAAGACCGAGGACATATCGATCGCGACGTTCAGGTCAAACGTACGTCGCTTCAGCCTCCCTCCACATCTCCTTTGGATCGTCAAGCCTCCCTTCAATCAACTTGGTATCCACCCAGCCAGGCGCAACAGCATTGATCCTCGCTTTCGCATTCAACCTCACAATCTCATTCTTCACCGTCTTGACAAGTCCATACTGCAATCCCGCCTTGCCAGACGCATACTCCACGTGTCCAGCCTGACCAAAGACACCACACTCCGAGCCGGTAACAACGATACTGACATTTTGAACCTCGGCGCCGGAAGAAGACTGGACTTGTTCAATGCTCTTTAGGAAATGTTTGATGGTCAGAAAAGTCCCGCGGACGTTGACGGTGTAGGTGCGCTCCCATAACGCCGAGGGCATGTCCCAGATTGGATAGCTGTTGGACTCGTCTGTGATGCCGGCATTAGCGCAGAGAATATTGACAGGACGGCCAAAGTGCTGGATAGCATCGGAGATGGACTGCTGGATGGATTTCTCATCGCTGATGTCCCCTCGGAGACAGTTCAGATTTGGGTTATCTGTTGATGCCAGGTCGTTTGGGCGTAAGTCGTGGGCGGTGACTTTACATCCTTGAACTTTGGTACTGTTAGCTGGAGGTTCTACAGCTCACCGCGCAAGTGATGGACGCTCGAGATACATGTACATTTCTCAAAGAATCCCCTGTATACATCACTCATACAAGTCTGCTAAAAGCAAGACTGTCAACTTGATACATGACCCACTAGACTTTCAATCATGTACACAACACACAAAATGGCCCAAATCAATCCCCATATCCATCAGACTCCTTCACGCACCGAACCTGCACATACCTAAAAACTCATCCACCAGCGCACTACCAATTCCCCCCACAGCACCCGTGACAAACACATGCAGACCCTGCAGCCCAAGAAACGACATGTTAGCCTTGACAAGCTCATTCAAAACGCAAAAACAAATGTTCAATCACAGACCTAATCCTGCAAAGACGTCCTGCAGGTTACTGTACCAGTACAGCGCACAAACTACGTAATGCATCTAAGCAGGCGGGCGAATGATAAGATATCGCTGTCATCCCGGGGAGACTAGAGTGGGTACCATGTGTGAGAGACAGGCGGAGATCCAGAGGAACCGGCACTCGAACCAGTTAATTTACTTGGCTATAGTTTGCATCCGCGGATCTCTTTTTCGCATATAATAACCACCTGTTCACGAGGTGTAGCACTGCTGACATTGATAATTGCACGCGTGAAATGTGCGCTGCCAATTCATCCCCACTGCGTCACCACAACAACCTCACCACTACCTATCTACCTACCACCACCACCATCACAACCCCCCCACCCCCAACCTGCAACCACATCCCCAAAGCCAACTCACGCGAAGAAAACACCACCACCTCCTCCTCCTCCACCTCCTCCACTACCATCACCACCCACCCCTCCCCCAACCAAACCCCCACTCCCTACGCACCCACTTCCTCCCCCCCCCCCCCGAAAAAATTTCCCCAATGGGAAATCCCCCCCCCCAACTCCCCCAAAGGCGGCGATTGCAGCGCCCAAAGGGCACATATGGGACAGCGGGCTGGGTAGCCAATGGGCGTGGTGCGGGCGGGCGGGGCGGCCAATCGGGCCGCGGGCGTGTGTGGTTGTGATTAGTTTGGTTTGGGGGCCGAGGGCCTACGGCGTGTGGGTGATGTGGGAGGGTGAGGTGAGTGGATGGGAGGGGCCGAGGGGGTGAGAGGTTGTGTGTGGTTTTGTTTGGGCCGGGGGGTTGTTAGTTGGTGTGTGTATCGTAAGTGTGTATGTGGATTTGATGATGATTTGATTTTGGGGATTTGGATGGTAGGATTGGCTATGGATTGTGTTGTTAGGTTTGGGCATGGGCGGTTTTTTTTTTACAGTTTGCAAGAGTGTGGTTTGCATGGAGTCTGTGGAAATATGTTTAAGAAAGTGATGGCCAGGTGTGCTCCTCATGTATTTGGTATTCATATTGTTCAAGGTACACTAATTCTACAGAGTGATGTCCTCGGATCGGTAGTGGTCCGCTACAATGCGGTAGAGGTATGAAGGTGCATGTCCACCACTGCGTTGAAAAAAAATGAACCGTTAGCATGGGCTTCAAGAGCGAATATCTCGAAGCAACTCACAGGTTGGTAATGTAGAGATCTACCAGGTCTGCAGGAACATAGTCGAACAGCGGATTCTCCACATCGACCTTCTCCACGAAATCACCGTCGTCGTATGGAATCACCATGCCTGCATCGCCATGCTCGATGAGTTCGTCAATATCGAATGGGTAGACAGGGCTCAGTTTGTAGACACCGCTGAGCACCACGACAGGTGTCTGATGCTCTTTGGCTGCCTTGGCGATCATGTGCGCGCCGGCTGCTGCTACAAGCCCACCATTTGCTAGGACGGTGTGTGTTGCTAGGATGACCTTGTTGACTCGCGACATGATGGCGAATACGTGTGAGTCTGGGATGACATAGACCTGAATACCGGCTTCGGTGAGTGGCTTCCACTTGTCATCGTCTAGATCATCATCTGGATTGGCTTCTCGCTTCTTTCCCGTCAGCAGAATGCCATGCGTGGCCGCGTGGTCATGGGGATATGTCTCGGCATGGACCACGGTAAACTTTCGTTTTCGAGCAGCGAACAAGAGGAACTTCTGTACGGTAGTCGATGCAGTGTGCGTGAGGATGATCTCGTTTGCGTGAATGTGTTCGAGCGCGACTTCGGCAATCTGTTTGTCCGAGGTTTCGAGCTCATCCTGGAGTTCTCTTATACCCTCCATGACTTCGCCCTTGAGATCTAGATTCGGTTGGCTCCTGTTCAGATTCTCGAGACGTTCTAGGTTCAGGGCAGTGAGTGTGCCCTTGCCGCTTGGTGACCTTTGGCCGGTGGGTGTGCTCGTATTTGATGGTGTGTCTGCGGGCTGCGAGAAGAGGCCAAAGAGCGAATTGACCAAGGGCGCAGTGGAAGTGGGCGCATACGAGGTATGGGAGCTGAGCAGCGGAGGCCGTCTTGACATCTCGCTCGAGTCTGACATGTTGTCGTATACACTCGCGTGCATGGGCTCTGCCACTGCATGTCTGAGGGGGCTGAATGTGGAGATGGTCGAGTTGAGCGGTGGCCTGTGGAGGGAGTCGTGCGGCGCATGTGGTGTTGCTGGCTCGCTGCCAGTAGGTGTCTGACCATCTGCATGTTCATCGACGACTTCGCGCACCAGCCCCCGCACCCGGCGTAACATGGTCCCTACCACCACCTTCCGTGGCTGAGCGGAAGTCACCCGCCTACCGACTTGTCTTATGCGCTCAATCAACTTTGCGGCGTCTCGCCCCTTGAATTCTCCCACCACGCGCAGCAAGAGAGCCGTGGTCGCAATGGCGCATGGTCTTGAGTTTCGGATCTGGCGTCGCTTGAGGAGCCTAGGAGGATATTTAGTTTGACTGGCACGAATGACAGTCGTACCGTACATGCTAGGCTGGCTGTCTTACGAAATGAGGTGCTCGACGGACGGGTCGACGGGCGTGGTTTTGAGAGACTTGAGGAAGGTGGATAGGCCTGGCGCCTGGATGGTTGCGCCTTGCGCCATTCTGTGGGCTGTCGAGGACAGTCGCGCTCACAAATGCGTGGGTAGTGTAGAGTATTAGACAGATGGGTAGCTGGCAATTTGGCGGGAGTGTGTGATCCAAATGTGGGGTAGAGGGGGGGGAGGGGGTGCTTTTGCTGGGGAGCGCGTCTCTTTGCGCGACTGGGGGCGGGGTTTTTCTTTTCTTTCTTTTCTTTCTTTTCTTTCTTTTCTTTCTTTTCTTTCTTTTCTTTCTTTTCTTTCTTTTCTTTCTTTTCTTTCTTTTTTTCTTTTCTTCTTCTCTTTCTTTCTTGGTGTAGTGCGAGGGTTCCACTGGAGAAATATTGCTCCCAAGGTTCGAGGCAATCCAGACTCACTACAGGCGTTGTGGAGGTGTTAGAGTAAGGTGCAGACATGTGCTCATGCTTTGCTCATGCTTTCGTGTTAGTGCCTGGCGCCTGGCTGGGACGACGCCAGCTGCTGCGCTGCGACTTGACACTCCCGACTTGAACACTGGCCTTTGCAACAAAAGCTCGCGTTTCAAAGGCTTCCCAGAGCCGGCTCTTGTGCTGTGCCCCAGACTTGTCGCTTTGAAGTCGAATTCACAAGCATCCCCGCCGTGCCCGTGATACGCCGCCCACCCAGACTTTTTTTTTCATTATTGTTTCTCCTCTTCCCTTTGGAGACTTGCTTGTACCAAAGCGCACGTCATATTGCAGAACGAGCGCCAGGCCAGCCCTTCCGACGAACGCGCCCACAAAGCTACCCCACAATCCAGAGAACCTTCTCGGACCTCTATAGTAGCCGAGCCGGCGAGGACACGCAGTGCATGGCCGTCGCCAGAGTATGCAAACCCTGAGATCGATTGTGAATATTGGCACGCCCACGCCCAGTCCGCCCCGTTCGCGCACCGCGTCGCGAAGCAACATCCACGAGCCTCGGCCCAGCGACTCTCGCCCGTCGAATGATGCGAGTGCAGAGATAGCCACCCTGAGCAGCGAGCCGGGCACGACGGGCACGACGGGCACGACGGGCACAATGGGTGCGTCCAGGAGCGACAGCGCCGCCTCCACCTCCGCCTCCACCTCCACCTCCACCGCCACCGCTGAAGCGGTCGCATCCGGCTATGACGAGAAGTCACCGCTTCTCAGCCAGCCGGCCATGGGACCATATGAGGACACGAAACCGCGGCGGCGATGGCTCTACCCACAGCGCATATCTGAGGGCATTGTTGCCATTGTCGGCGTAATCGTGACCCCCTTCGTCTACACGGGCCAGTGTCTTATGTCCTGTTTCTACTACGAGGAGGATGATCGCTACTCCTTCCTCGCCCCTATCTACCACATCGCCCAGACATTCACACGCGGACGGAGGAAGAAAGACAACGCGCGCGCCCCGTCGAGCTACAACGAAAAGCAAGCGCACAGGACCCGCGGTGCGAGCGGCGCCCAGCCCCAAACGAGAAAGTCCTCTCGGCGTTCATTGTCCATGGCCTCGACGTCCACTGCCATGACGTCGGACTCCGAAAGTGAGCGACCCCGTACACGTGATGGGGACTTTGGTAGCCCTGCGCGGCACACACGCTCAAAGTCGAATGCATCCTCTGGCGGAGACGAGATAGCCCCTGCAAAGCGATCTATTCGCATCACCCTCCAGCACAACGAAGACGTCTTGAGGCAACGCAAGGCGACAAAGAAGGCGCAGACTGCAAAAAGCAATGCCGTCTCGCCTGAGGCGGCGGCTGCACTCAAGTCTCCCACAGGTCCGGTCAACATGCCATCAAAACAATTGACGAGATTCCCACGAGCGCCACAACCCCCACGGCCCCTGGTTCCGCGGCGTCAGCCGTCTTACTCTGCTTCAGGCTCATCCGCGGTTGGCCCACACCAGAAGACGTTGATCCTTGATCTTGATGAAACACTGATACACAGTGTTGTGAATAATAGCCGCTTTCAGACTGGCCACATGGTAGAGGTAAAACTCCAAGCTGCCGTTGGCGCTGGTGGTCAGATCATCGGCCCTCAAGTTCCACTCTTGTACTATGTTCACAAGCGACCGTATTGTGACGATTTTCTGAAAAAGGTACGTGATACAACATGACATTTGCCAGTCCCGCACTGATGTCGCCATCAGGTCAGCAAATGGTACAACCTTGTGATTTTCACTGCCTCAGTGCAGGAATACGCCGATCCGGTCATCGATTGGCTGGAAGTGGAGCGCAAATACTTTGTGGGGAGATACTACAGGCAGCACTGCACGCTGCGAAATGGGGCATACATCAAGGACCTTGCTCAGATTGAGCCTGACCTGAGTAAGGTCATGATCCTTGACAACAGCCCACTAAGCTATGTGTTCCACCCAGGTAAGATTTTCGTTGGTCGTGTATGCCGCAGGATGTACATGCTGACATCTCGCAACAGACAATGCTATTCCAATAGAGGGCTGGATCAGTGACCCGACGGACCATGACCTACTGCATCTCATACCACTGCTGGAAGGCTTGCAGTATGTCACCGATGTGCGGGCTTTGCTTGCGCTTCGACTCGGGATGCCTGCATCGGCTTGACAAACCAGCAGGTGTAGTGGCTCCTGTGATCTAATGTGCTCTGTATTATAGACACCTCTAGCTACGCCGAGCAGTTGGCTATGTAGCCATTTGGAGATACCCAAGATGTTTAGTTCTTTCCAGCCCGTACATTATTGCGCCTTGACAGATGCAGTCTGCCATTTCATGTCTCAAACTGACCGTCTCATCCTATGTAGACCCAATCACCTCGGCCGTCGTGGGGATGTTGTAGAGCGCTCTTAGACCACACCTCCCGCGTGGGTGTTCTTGGCAGTCCCCAGCCTATTACTAAAACCTCACCATTCCGCCTATCTCCTCTCCCGGGTAGCGCGCCCCACGACGCCCGTCGTTTCTCCCGTGGTTCCATGCAGCGCTTTCATTGCTCCCCCTCGTCTCCTTCCAAAACGGCACATTGTATATGCTTATTCCTTGCTACCCCTGCCATGTGTTTGCTTTTAGGGTCCTTCTCTCGCTCTCCGGCGCAGAATGGGTATCCTCCCACATTTTTGTGCCAATGCAGCCGCTACCAGGAGAACATTTGCGCTCGTACTCCACTAATTCCAGGACATGTCATCACAGACTCAGACCGCTGACGTAGCAATGGTAGATACGAGGTTTGTTGAAACGGCAAAGTACATACTCTTGACACAGTCTAAGAGTGTTCAGTCATGACCTTCACCTTTTCGATCAAGCTACTTCGGATATACAGAATACCATCTCAGAAAACCATCGACAAGACTTCCTCTGCAATGCTTCTGCGTCGCTCCTGTTGGATGAATTACAGGCGTCATTTACTAGCACCTCCATCTGCGATCAACGACTAGTTGCATGTAGCCAAAAGTTTGCGCTTCTCGTTCAAAACTTTGCACCTTACTTCGAAATCCTTGCGCTATGTGTGCAATTGCGATCAGAATGGGCCAGCTGGCTCTGGGGTACCATACGACTAGTCTTCAGAGTGAGCCCCATTCCATGACATATCACACCGACTATCGCAAGCATGAGACTGATGGAGTGAGCCAGATTAGCAGCAACCACCCTGTATTTCTGGAGAAAGCTGCAGACATGCTGGAAACCATTGCGCATATCGTGTCGCCATATCGCCAGATGTATGAGGGTTGCAATCGGAATGGACCCGTCTCTCATCTCGCTGTGCAGGACCTTCATCTGGCAGCGCTCATGTCCAATGTTTATGCAGATATTGTTTGTCTTTGTCTGGACCTCTACAAGATTTTCTGTCGGTCCGCACGCGGTATGTTCTTTCCCGTCATAAAGCACTCGTCTTCACTCGGCATCCTAGAATACGTCCGCGACGCCATATCTTTCACACTGCTAACGGTACAGCTCATACGTTGAATGATTCTAGGCATGAATCAAATCGATCAGTACTATGGAGACCTTTGGATTACAGGTTCGCACGACTCGAGGTACGATTGGTCCGTCATCGGAAATGGCTGGAAAGAGAGACGGAAGGCCAGGCTCAAAACTACTCGGAAATTGCGATGCACCGGCGGGAATATGCGACGTTTTTGAGTCGTCAGAGCGGATTTACAGGCAACAATGGTGAAGACTCTAACGAGCAAATGTTGGCGAGGCGGATAAGGAGAATCGACAAGGCTAGAGAATGGCTCTCAAATGGGTCGCTCATATCATGTCCCGAAACCCATAGGTCTCATCAGTCTCCGATGTGTTCATGTGACTGGTTCTTCAAATCTCCTACATATCGCAGATGGAAGAATATCCCATTCGAACGAAGGAGAGCTGATGATTTGCATGCCCTCGCAGGCGACTGGCAACATCGAATCCTATTTGTACAAGGTACGTTCAATACTATACTGAGAATTGTTGCTTAAACTGACTTCGACACAGCTAGAGAAGGTTTTGGCAAGACTACCATCGCACAGGAAGTAGCAGCGATACTCGAAGTGAATGGCGACGGTCCTGATCCTAGCACAGAGGCATCGGCAACAGCTTCTTTCTATTTCGACCTAAAACGTCCTCAAATGTGTTATGCAGATCAGGCAATGCGATCACTGGCCTCTCAACTACTTTATACGCACCGGCGCGAACCTTTGACATTAGATGCTGTGTGCCTTATGCTACGCAGAACTTCTTTTCGTGAAACGGCGACAACAGAAGAAGTGATGGCAGTCCTCTCTCTCCTGTTACATCAGCATCCCACCTATCTCGTCATCGATGGAGTCGATGAGTGCAATGATATCGAAGTTCTACTAACATCATTAGCACAGCTGAGTCGAAAATCCGACACGAGAGCCATTCTGTTCAGCAGACCAAACATCAAAATCCCACTGGAGTATCAAAAGTGGGCATCTGATGCTCCACATATTTTCACTTTAACAAACCAACATAACGCAGTTGCCATTGAGCATTTCCTTTCCCAACTTCTAAATCAAATGGCAGATCAAGGATTCTTCGGCATAGCGATTGACCGTACGATCATACCTCGTGTGGCGCAAGTGTCGAATGGCGAACTTTTATGGGTTCGCATACTCTTAAATTTGCTGCAGTCACCTGTACTGTCTGCCAGAGAGCGATACGCAACGCTGCAGAATGTTCAGTTTCTACGAGGTCTCGAAACACTCTATCACAGCGTTCTCGTTGCTCTACAGCGTCGATCAGCCCGTGAAAGGCGGATGATAGCTGATGCTTTCCGATGGTTATCATTTTCAATACACAGCTTGAGTCCATCTGCAATGGGAACCGCTCTTTCCGCTGTCGAGGACCATTCATCGGATATGGTAGATGGATACGATCTTTTACACTCCCTGCCCGAGCTCACTTGTGGGCTTTTGCACCTTGAGAATGGAACCATTACATTTACTCATCGCTCAATACCCGATTTCCTCCAAGCCCATGCAACTCAGCTATCGGAATTCAGCCTATGCAGTGAAAACGAAGCCCACGCTCAGCTCGCCGCACGCTGTCTATTACAACTTGCCTGCAATATGCCTCAGCAGCCCCTAGGAGCACTGCGACCGCCATCTCCACCGAGACCTCCTATCATAGCTTCGAGCAGCAGCGCAAGCCAACGCACAAATAGATCAGAGGACAGCGGATACAAGTCACTTTCCTCATCTGACGGAGACAGTGCTATTATGCAACCTGCTCAAGGAACGAATGAGCATGATCCGCGCAATCACAACCTGCGTACTTTAGCTTTCGACTCGCATCTGCCGTTTCTCCGCTACACAGCACTCTGCTGGCCTATACATCTCAGCCGCGCGCTCTCACCCAGCCTCCACAACATCGATCTCTCATCACCTGAATCCTACCCCTACCTCCCTGCCCTTTATGCCTTTCTCAGCTCACGTCTCGCAATCACAGTATGGGTCGAAGCATCCTATCGCTACAACTTGCCGCCAACACTGTCGAGGCTTGTCGGTCCTTTATCAGATCTGAAAAGTGAGATATCGCCTGCGACTGTGAAGGGTAGGGAATTGCGCTTTGTGGTCACTGCGTTGAGGGAATTGAGTGAGAGGTTGGTGGAGTTGAAGAGGGGGTTTGAGGGGGCGCTGAGGCAGAATCCGAGTTTGATTTGGCAGATGACTGGGCTTGGGGTTGGGGCTTATTGGCCGGTTTGGGAGGAGATTCTGGGTGTGGATTGATGGTATAGATTCATGGTCGAGGCGTCAGGCCAGAGATAAATAATTTCTACAACTCGAAAAATAAGAGGATCAAAATCTTGAAAATTTCGTGGTGCCAAAAGAAATTTGGTGCAAGTTGCTGCACAATCTTCTATGCCATAGGTACTGCGTGCTGCTTGTTTGCCCAAAATCTTGAAGTGCGAGTTCATTGAAGGAAGTTATCATGAAGCAGATTATATATAACATAGGTTCTTTCGTTGCATCACGAGCCACAAACGCAAAGCTTCTCGACGTGCTATGTAGATTCTCAGCGAATAGCAAGTCGAATGATATCAGCATATCGCAACTAGGTCTTGGCGTCCTCTGACCTCATCAGAAATTCCATTGCGGCGAACCACGGAGGTGACCAGCACTCAAACGTCCACTCTCAACACTCACAGTAGACAAAATGTTTGCACGACGTGCAATCCCCTCCGTAAGTCCTTACAAGTCTCTAATTCCCCGTTCAAAGTGCTCACAAGATATCAACAGGCTTTCCGCGCTGCAACTCGCGCCAGTCCAGCAGCCCGCGCCTTTGCACCCACACGCTTCATCACACCGTTCCAGGCCCGATTACTTTCCGATGAAGTACGCGCCGCAATTGACAAGGCCGTCGCCTCAGCCCCTGTTGTTCTGTTCATGAAGGGCACACCAGAGACGCCACAATGCGGGTTTTCAAGAGCTAGTATACAGATCCTGGGCATGCAGGGTGTTGACCCAGAGAAATTCACGGCTTTCAATGTATTGGAGGATCAAGAGCTGAGACAAGGTATGTTCTATTTGCCACGTTCTACAGGGGCACTTGCATTGTATTACAGGATGAGATAATGTGCTGGCACGGAAAGATGTATACTGATATGGAGAATGTAGGCATTAAGGAGTACTCGGAATGGCCGACGATACCGCAACTTTACGTCGACAAAGAGTTCATTGGCGGATGTGATATCCTCATGTCGATGCATCAGGATGGCTCGCTGGCGAAGATGCTCGAGGAGAAGGGTGTTGTTGTGCCTGCGGAGCCTGGATCACAGCCGTAGATTGTCAGTCTCAGCACAGTGTTGCAATGAAGATTAGGAACAAAGATTGTAGTAATGCATGTATCAATAGGCGATACAGTGCACTGCATTGATACAGGCTATGGGTTGTTGAATGTACATATATTGTAAGCATGCCACCTCAAGTATTCATATCCGGTCCCTGTATTTCTATTGCATGTTTCCAGGTCTCTGAACATTAATTTGGCGTCAATTTGCCTTCACTTTCTCTCATTATCGCGTTGCATACTTGCATTTGGATGTTGCACTCACCTCATCGCACCTGCCTCGCCGGCTTCGGAGAATCGCTCCAGCCGAATGCGACTACATCTTCCGGGCAATTCCATCTGGAAGTTCATCTCTTTTCTTCCACTAACAGCCATTGACCGCGATGAGTGCTGAAGCTCGAAGTCGGCGTAGCGTAGAGCTGGCTTATAGAACTCATCTCATGCACATGCAATGGGATGGAGACCTCATCGCAGCAGGCGAAGAACCACGATACCTACCGAAAATGAAGAAAAAGATGGAGAAGTCAAGGGCCCTCGCTGCAAAATCCCAACAGCGAAGCTCGAGACCGAAGAAAGTGGAGCCAGCTTTCTCATTTGATCCTCTAGTTCAGCCGCCTACAGAGGAGACGGCTTCAGACACATCAGACATGGAGGTTGAACAGTCGAGTCGCGTCCTACACTCTCGTGGTACCAAGTCCTCTTCCGTGAAACGCGATACTGCCAAGAAGGTGAAGAAGACTGTTTCGGCGGCGTCGCTGTTTAAACGTCCAGGGAAAAAAGGGGATCATCTCGAGGTCACATCTCCAGAGGAGCGGCAAATTATCGATCGCTTTATCCAAGCAGCGTCGGCAGCGAAGTCCACTTCTAGCGTACGTAGCCCACAAAAGGTGGAAGGCAGGGTAGCAAGGAAAAGAAAGAGGTCGGATATGCACCCACTGGCCGTGGCATTCAAAGGTAGGCAATAGGTACTGGCAAGTAGGATAAGCTAACGTTTCCCTTCGCAGATACAAGCGATGAGTACCGCCGCCATCTATATGAGACTACCTCACAGAAGATCAATAACACTCTTGAATCTCTCCTTCACCGGTTGCACGAGAGCACCTTGCAGACGGTTGCTACACACGGTGGCCACGATGATCTCCAAGCCTCACCTTTGAGACTCACAGCCCCAGTAAAGTACGAACGCATAGCAGCCAACCTCTTCCAGCCACTCTCTCAATACAAACTCGGCCTCTTCGCGAGCAATCGTCTGGGCGAGCGCGTACGTATTGAAGCTACACTCGCGACCCGGATGCAAGATTACAAGTACCATCTTGCACAACGCACAGAGGAAGTGGCGCGATTACAGAAGCAATGGGAGATGATTGTGGGAGAGATCTGGAAGCTGGGAGTCACGTGTTTGGGACAGGATGCAATGGCATCTTTGCTCTTGAGCAAGGCCAGCGAGCAATCCGTAGGCGAGTTCCCATCAGATACCACGAAAGCAGAGTCTACGCTCTTCGTACCTGAGCATGGCAGCCCATCACCTGTTCAGGACGGTAGTCGCGGCAAGAAACACGTCACCTTCGAGACACCGCATATCCGTGAAGGGCTGACCGACGACCTAGCGTTTTTGTCTCAGCTGTCCCGATACAAGAACGACACACTTCTGGCCGCACCGCCGCTGCCTGAGCAAGATGTGCAAAATATGAAGAAGGAGATCAAGAGGCTGGGCAAGAAGGAGATGGAAAAGTTGCAGGACATCGGCAAGGAGAAACAGCAGTTTTGGAAAAGGAAGGCAAATCAGATTATGAAGTCGCTTGTGGAAGAGTGAGGAGTAAGGAGTACGGAATGATATGTAATCCATGGCCTTGACGAGAAACAACTTTATGGCTGAAGACAGGGGGAGAGGTGAGAGCATGTGATTTACATGTTAACAACTAGGACACACTGTCTCTTCCAGAGCTCTTCATCATCGGAGCCACGATGAGTGAAGGTATCATAGTATAGGAAGTAAGAAGCTTATCATCAAGACAGAAGAGCAGTCACATGCAATGGGACGAGTCACGGGTGCACAGCCAAAGAGCAGTTTTGAGCATCGAACAAACATGAACTTTACATTCTAGAATATATTTGATTCAAACTTGCAATACGCAAAAGTCTAAAAGTCTAGGTGGATATCTCTCTTCAAAATGTCTCTTTCGCTCTTCCCCCCCCCTTAATGCCTTGTCCCTGCTCTACGAATCGAAGCTGCTCTTGAAAACATACCTTTGATCCTCTGGCTGCTGGAACGGGACACCCAGCTCAAACAGGGTGACGACGGCCTCGCTAAAGTCCTTGAAGAAGGCCTCGTTGTCCTTTGCATAGAGCTCCGCATACTTCCTGAAGCTCTTGTCCTTTACAATCTCCATATCCGTGGGCAGCATCATGAGGCTCTTGGTCTTGACATCCTCGAACTGCTTGGGGCCGTCCCACTTCTTGTACGCCCACTTCTCCTCGAGCAGCAGCTTGAAGTAGTCGTTTGTCAGAGTGGTTGGGGAAAACGTCCAGGGCCCGTCGTAGCCCGAGCGATCCGTGTGGCAGCGGCCGAGGGCGTGGGCACCAGACAGAGCCACCATGGCCTTGTCGTCGAAGCCCATGCGGCCAAAGATGGCGCGGATGTGCGACCGGTCCTTGGAGGCGTCGGGGAGGCGGCCGTCGGGCGTGCAGAAACTGAGGTCGCGGTCGGTCCGGCCGGCTCGGTAGGGAATCTTGGGACCTTGCATCTCTTGGATGGCGCAGACGCCGGCGAGGATCCACAGGTCCGAGTAGGATATCCAGGGGAACGCTTGCTTGACGGGCTCGAGGAAGTCGCGGGCAGCGGCCAGACCGGCGTTGGCACCGTGGTCGCCTTCGGGGGCGAAGCGCATGGTTGCGCCGTTGGAGCCGCCCGTGTTGGTTTCTTTGTCATATCTGTTGTTTTTGCTCGTTAGTCGGGTGCTCAGTGATCAAGCAGTGGGGCGTGTGTGTGTATGGGCAGGGAGAAACGTACGTTCCAGAGGCGTGCCATGCCAATCGCAACAACACTGGTCCATAGCTGCCATCATCATAGTCGTCCTTCTCCTCAAGCAGCTTCGCAATCTTGTTGTACACCTTCTGGTAGTCCTCGAAGCGGGGAACAAAGACCTTCTTGCTCTCCTGGCCAAACAACTCGGGCTTGTATGTGTATACACCGTAGATGGCCGCACCAGCCAGAAGGGCACCGGCGCCGTAGATCAGGCCGGTCGGGTTGCCCTCGTACTTGTCCTGCCCGTCCTCCTTGCCAGAGGCATACCCGCGTTGCCACTGCTTGCCAAACGTCTTTTGTGCAGGCGTGACGAAGCGGGCCGAGGAGCGTGTAGTTGTGGCGCGGAAGGATGGTGCTGCGGTGCGCAGGGCGCGCGAGAAGTTGCGTGAGGCCGATGCCATTGCGTTGATGTGTTGTACTGTGCGTATACCGCCCGATTGAGGGTGATTCCACGTGCGAGGAGTGTGACAAAAAGCAGAGTGAAGTTAACAGCTGTAGTGAAGTTGTGTCCAAGAAAAAACTTCTTGTACAGGCAGTTGACCAAGGTAAGTTAGTGATTAGGAAGCCAAAAAGAGCAGCCAGGAAAGCCGACGGGGGAGAATGAAAGTGAATGACCGAGTGGGTAAGCCCGCTTTATAAAAGAAACTCCGTTATCCTCGGACCTTTATGGCGAAAAGCGATTCAATGGCCACACACGCTTGCTTGCCAGAAATTCAGTCGGGCGTGGGACCCACTCTGATAGCCATCCACAGCCAATCACCGGCCTTACAAATCCAACTGCTGTCTGGACTTTTGCGCTTACCATATCACAAACCAACCTCACGTCCTCTACTCTCTTTCTCCCTCTCTTTCTGCCCTGGGCACGCGGCAAGAATTCTCAACGGGGCAGATAGTGGTCAACCAAGGAAGAGCTTTTGGACGACATTTTCCGTTTCGACACCCCACGGACTTGCTTGGTGGTTAGCTGCAGGCTCTTGGTTGCCACCTCTGGCGGTTGAAGCACACCTCCAGCGCCTGTGATTCGCTGTTGCGGCATTGGATCGACGCAGGCCCAGGGAAGGGCTCCTGATGAGGCTCTGCGGGCATTCTAAGAACATGCTGCATTTCACGCCGACTGCGAACGCTCCCTTCTCTTCACGCTTGTTGCTCGCTCTATTTTACGTGTGCAGATGCGAGGAAACGCTACATAGCATGCTGCCTAGGTGCCGCTGTCCAGTCACCAGCCGCCGTCCAATGAGTTCACCTGCCGAAGTCGCCCTACGAGTACTCGCATCAATGCTCCACATCCCGTTCTCCTCCGATGGTGGCGTGTGCCAAAATGCTCTAAAAGAGGAAATAAGCCCCTTCCGCTGCAGATGTGTGTCAAGTGGATCTCATCTCGACCTTGGTGTCGATGTCAGCAATAATGGGTTTTTGGGAAGGGGCGGGGGGGGGAGAGAGAGATAGTGTATGTGCGTTGTGTGTGTGTCTATAACTGTATGTGCGGTTTTCATTGACTCTATTGGTGTTCACGCCCTGAAATAAAAAAACACCTAAAACACCATCGCCTTTCTTGATTACTCTTGCTGCGTACCCCCTTGCCCCAATACCATGCAGACCATGCGTGGGAAAAGCCCAGAAAATGGAAAGAAAAGACATTAGGACCCGGACGCAGATGCTGTGCAACGCAGGAAGCCCTCAGTAATAGAAAACCAAACTCCAAAGCCAAACTCCCAACTCGAAAGAGAAATGTTCCCTTGCTTCAACATCAAAACATGTATGCGTGTGGCGGCGGTGGAAGCCCATGCCTCATGCCAGCAAATAAGGGCATATAATTCTGCTCAAGGTTGCCATGGAGTGGTGTAGAACCACCAGAACTTGACGGAACAGCCGAGCCAGCCTCTTGCATCCGTTCTTGCGTCACGATTTCGGCCGCCTCCTTCTCCAGCTTAGGCCTGAGTTGATTCCAAGAAGTAATGTTTGGCTCCTTGGGAATGGCGACTGCCCGACGATACGATGGGCATGCCTCCATCTGTCGCAAATCGATCGGCGGAGAGAGTTGTTTGGCCTTCTGCTCAAAGTAGAGTTTGCGCGCCGCCTTTCTGGCCTGGTAGTCAAACGTCTTGGTCGACCGAGTCGTCTCTTCCCATAGTTCCATTTTCTTTGCAAACGCTCTACGTTCCTCGATGATCTTGATCTTGTTGGCGTGCCATGTCGTGTACCATGCGCGCATCTCCGCCGGGTCTGCTGATCTCGCACGAGCTTCGGCTCTGTACTCGGCCACAAGCTTCTGCACGTCTGGCAGCGAATAGACCGTCTTGAGAGAGTGGGTAGTGGCTGGGCCAACGCCGACAAAGTTGCCCCAAGAATCGAAAATGCCGGACGGTAGACAGGATTTGATCAGGGAAATGTCCTCGCCATTGTCATCCCGCAAAAGAGCCAACGCATCATGCTCCCTCAACGTCTTGGACTGGAGACAGGTCTTGCACCAACGGCGTAAGAATGCCCAGTACGTCTTGCGTGTGTTCTTTGCACCACAGCTCATGCAGCCGTGGCCATGTCGCAGATGGGCGTACTGGAATTCAGTGAGCTCCGAGGGCGGATCAGGCATGTCTTTCCCGTAGTAGTAGTTCCGCGCGTGTTTCCAGAGCATCGGGTTGTCTCTCAGAAAGCGGTAACACGACGCAATCTTCTCACGCATCTCCAGTAGTTGTGCAGGATCCGAGAAGGAAAGAATGGTGAACCAGCAATCCAGGTCTACTCCCTTGGAGAGCGTCTTGCCCTTTCGCAGCCTTGTGGGCTTACATTGCTGCCAATGCTGCGTAAGCAATGGGCGTCCCAGCGAGGATGAGGATGAGGATGTCGACGTCGTGTTATTGCCTGGCGACCAAGTTCCATTTGAAGATTCTGCAGATTCGCTCTTCCCATCGTCGCCGCGTTTGCGTTTCAGCGCTCCGGGGATGTTGGACAAGGGCACATGATGCGACCGCACCTCTTTCTGCGCCAGCCCTGCACGTTTCCCCACCTGCTTCCGACAGTTGATGACGGTTCCATAGGCCTGCGCAGGTCCTTGGGAGATTGGTGTCTGCTTGTTGACTTTGAAGGCGACGTTTTTGGCATTAACCATGGCTGGTCAGCAGGCCAGCCGCGGAGGGGTATCGGTCCAAGTCGCACGCAGTAACGGTTGCAGAGGCTGGGGCGAGGTTATCATAAGGTTGCGGGTGAAGTGGTGAGCAGCTGGGGGAGGTCGAGGTTGAATGTTGACAGATTGACGAAAAGGAGCGAAGAGAAAGGTTGACGCTGAGACTTTGGTTCACGGGTGACTGCGCCCAGGCTTGAGTGAACTCGGAACCAGACTTCGCCGATTGGCTTCGGGATGGGAGTTTTGGAAGTCGCTAAGCTCGCCTTCCAAATCCTTCATCGCTGTACTTTGCCGACAACTACATCTGACATGGTCAACTCGACGTTAGGCCACAGCACGGCTGTAAGGATGACATGGGACTTATGCCATATACTTGCACACGCATTCCAAGTGCAGCACATAAACGCACGCACACGCACACTCCCACTGGGAACGCACTTGGTCAGCAAGCTCGCACCGATGTGCTTCCGAGCCAAGAGAGTTATTGGGTGCATACGCCACAGCCGATGATGCGACTGCGACGATGCCAAGGGGGTATCCTCAGTTGTCGTCACCTAGTGGAGAGTTTGCCGGTCGGCTTTGCCTTGTTGTTCCCGTTGATAAGTAAAGTCAGCCGGCAAGCGACGGAGTACCTAATGCAGACTGCCAGGCCAGGTTGCACGAGATCATCAGCAAGGGACGTCAGCAGAACCGCTCCCCCCCCCCTGCGCGGAATACCTGGGGTTTGTGGCGCTGGGGAAGAACAAAGCAGCTGCCTCTTTGAGCGGTGTATCGACGTATGGCTTGCACACAGTGGGAAGAATACCAAGAGGAACCCCATAACGACTCCATAAAACCGCGGGGCTTAGCGAGCCACTCCAGCTCGACACTGGCCAGCCGTTGCTGTGGACGATCTGCGACCTCGGTAGGCGCCATGGCTGTCTTCGAACGGGCTGCCTTTGAGCGGTCAGTATAAAACTCCCGCCGGCCCACTGCTAGGGTGCGAGGGTTCCTAGGATGTGATCAGCTTGCGGCACTGGGCACACTAAGAGTAGCACGACGTCTGGGATCTGTCAAGTCCGACTTTTGATATCATCACCGGCATCGCAGGGCACGATGGTTTCCAAGAAAGAGAGTGAGTCGGCGCTTTTAACAAGTCTCGAACGCTTGATTGTCTTAGTGAGGCACAAGCATTTGGGATAATCCCGGCGTTTCCGCAGTCTACCCCACGATCACGCAAGACACAAAACACTAACACGTACAGAGGGGACGTCGTCTCCAGACTTCGACAAACATGAACAGGTTGTGCCTCAATATCATGCAAACACATACGAAGATGCGCCAGATATGGTCGCATGTCCACCACACACCACCGAGGCTCAACTCGTGCGAAGAATCGACTTTCGTGTTATACCATTTCTCTGTATAATGTATCTGTTGGCATTCTTGGATCGGTAGGGGCACTCTCCCATGTACAGGCTATGCTACCGCGACTGACGACATCAAGTGTGAATATTGCCAATGCGAACGTCTTTGGTCTCTCCGAGGAACTGGACCTGGTTCGTGACAACCGCTACAATACAGCTCTGGTCATCTTCTTCGTTCCATACATCCTCTTCGAGATTCCAAGCAATATCCTGCTCAAAAAAATGAAGCCTCGTGTCTGGCTCAGCATCTGCATGTTCGCCTTTGGATTGATAACCATGGCCCAGGGTTTTGTCCAAAACTATGCTGGCTTGCTCACTACACGCTTTCTACTTGGTCTTTTTGAGGCTGGCATGTTTCCAGGAGCCTTCTACCTCATCGGCATGTGGTACCGCCGCCACGAAGCGCAGAAGCGATTCTCCTTCTTCTTCAGCTCCACGACCTTGGCTGGTGCCTTTGGAGGTCTGCTAGCATCTGCCATCGGCAAGATGGATTACATGCGCGGGTATCGCGGATGGCGTTGGGTGTTTATTTTGGAAGGGTTATTGACGATCGTGGTATCATTTGCATTCTTCTTCCTCCTGCCCAACTTTCCAGAGGAAGTCAAGTGGCTCACAGAGGAAGAGCGGACTTTTGTAAAAGCACGCCTGGAAATAGATCAGGGAAGCTCGGCCCGTGAACGCCCCATCAAGGCTCGCGATGTCGCCAATGTCTTTCGCGATCCCAAGGTTTTCATTGGTGGTCTTATGTACTTTGGTTTGGTTGTACCTGCATACGGATATGCCTACTTCTCTCCGACCATCATCAGGGGCTATGGATACAGCCCCATTCAGACACAGCTGCATTCTGTCCCACCATGGGCAGCAGCGTTCGGCTTCTCTATGATTTTGGCCTGGTTCTCGGATAGGTTCAAGCATCGCTTCATCTTCGCCATCTTCGCCATATGCGTCGCAATTGTTGGATTCGCCATCCTAATTAGTGTTCACGACAACTACCATCTCCAGTATGGGGCTCTATTTCTCGTCACTTGTGGAGCGTATTCTGCTATGCCAATTGTAGTTTGTTGGTTCAACATGAATCTAGGCGGTCACCACCGTCGCGCTGTCGGTTCTGCATGGCAGGTAAGTCTTCTGCTAAAGGACCAAAGACATTGATACGAGGTGCTAATTCACAACAGGTGGGCTTCGGAAACATTGGAGGTATCATTGCCGTCTTTGCTTTTCTTACAAAGGATGCGCCAAAGTACATACCTGGTTATTCGATTTGTATCGCCTTCGTTTGCCTGAGCGCATTGAGTTGCTGTGCGTATCTAGCCATGTGTATGTGGCAAAACCGCGCGAGGAGTAAGAGTGTCCGCAATGTCGGTTTGACGGCGTACGAGAAGACCGAGCTAGGGGATCTCAACCCAGACTATCGTTATCTGTTGTAGACCGGGGGACAGATGTTGGCTTTGTACTGATGGCGTATTCGGAATATATCGTGCAACATTCTTGATCCGTGGCCATGCAAAGATACAGTATAAAATATAAAAGCGAAGGCTTTATCAAATGCTTAATCACAACCCACGCCGCTCACTCGTGTGCGTATGGGAAAACACAATGGATACGACATGCGTAGCGAAGCCCAGATGTTCATCTCATGTACTGCTTGGCACCGTAGTCAGGCTTTCTGTATCAGCGCCACCATCACTTCCATGGCCCCATATCTCTTGACTTTCGCTCTCGACCCCTCTCATTGCCTTTGCGACCTCTTCCAGCCGAACGACCACCTCCTGTACGCCTTTGTTAACCTTCTCAAAGTACCGGTCGTTTTCTTCTCGTCGCCTTCTACTCAGCTCAATGTCTTTCTCAGTTTCTTCCTCCAGTTTGATTCTGTCGAATAACTTGTCACCCTTTGTTGTAGTCGTGTTGTCGCTAGCATTGACTAGAGTTTGTGATGCAAGATCAGTCGCTTTAATGTCTTGCGACTTCTTTTGCTGATCGCCTGGCTCTTCATGTTCCTCGGCTTCCGACCTTGCCCACGCTTTTGCCAACTCGATCTGCGCTTTCCGGAGCTCGTCCAAAGCCCGCGAATGGTCAGATCCAAAGACTGTCATCCCTGGCCCCTTGATAGCACTCAGCTCGACCTCCTCCAGCGTGTTCTGCATCTCTGCCCATACTGCCTCGGCTCGTGACGATGCTTCGGCTTCTGCAGCTTGACTTTGAGCCCTTTGCCGACGTTGGAAGGGCGCAGATGGATTCGACGTGGTGAGACTGAGGTTGTCACCGTCGTACTGGTTGCCTGTAGTGGGCGGCAGGGGTCGCTTCGAATCTGGGGAGAGTAGAGAACGTTGACGGACTAGTGGAATCCTCGTTGGATCTCTCGAATCCCCAGGGGGTAAGAGGGATGTGTTGGAGGCATTGTGAGAGGGTGGCCCAACGAAGAGCGCTGGAGCCGGTAGACGATTCGTTTGAGTTTTAACGGTCTTCTTCTCCTGGGATGCCATTGAGAAGGTTGAACCAAGATATATCAAATAAATTGTGTTGGTGATGTAGCCATGCGCTCGAATGATGGATGCGTTGCGCCCGATATTTTGGCATATAATCGGATGCGGTTGTTCACTGAGACGACAGGACGAGGTTTCAGTAGCGATTTTAGAATTGAGTCGTAGTTTATGCGTCCAGATGTCTAAGAACTTCTTTGAATCAATGCAGAGAGAATCATCTGCGCATTGTCGCTCAGCAGGTCGTGGGATCTGGAATGGTGTTCATGTTGGCGACTGAATGACGCAGGTAGGCGATAAGATAAGAGGGTCGCCCAGCATCAGCTACGCCTTACTAGTTTAGGGTTGGTCCAAGCACCGACCACCACACACACAGTAGGCGAGAATATCGCAACTTCGAACTGCTTGCCTCCGTCCTGCGATACTAACCACCCACTCTCCTCAGCACATCCCTCGTCAACACCTGACGGAATGGGGGTGAAGACGGATCATCAGAAGAGATTGGTGGCAACGAGACTCTCAAATGGGGCTAACATGACCACAGTTCCCAACGATGGTTGCTTGAACTTTGTCGACGAGAACGACGAGGTCCTGCTCGCTGGATTCGGTCGTAAGGGCAAGGCCAAGGGTGATATTCCCGGTGTGCGTTTCAAGGTCGTCAAGGTTTCCGGTGTCGGTCTGTCCGCTCTGTGGAAGGAGAAGAAGGAGAAGCCTAGGTCGTAGAGAACTCAATTGCAAGGAGTCAAAGGCATTACGAACGTGGGACCCAAAGCCCGTCATGAACGACTGATGGAATCCGCGGATCATTGTGGGAGGTTAACCGGAGTCTTTCCATTGGGGATATCTGTGCTTCTGCTCGACATACGAAAAGTCATGATATGCTGGAGGGTTAGATAGAGAATCTGACCTATTCAAGCGCCCAACAAAGTGTCACTACACCGCGATATCGTCATCATATCATGCACTAACGAATGAAGGCGATGATCCAACTTGCATATGCCATGACACTTTGATGTGTTCGGTTTGGAATCATGTAATCATAATACTAATCGCACACAACAATCTAAAAGGGTACAAAGCCAGCTTTGAAGCCCCCTCTCTGTTTCGCTCAAGCGTCTCTGCTGTAATAATGTACAGATGCCGCTTCCTGCGAACGGGGTATCTTAACCAAAAACGCCACACCTATGCAACTCCCATGCCCGTCTATAATCCAGAGGATCCGCACACCCCTGGGAAATTCAAAATTTAACAAGAAAAACTCTCCAAAAGAAAAGAGAACCCCACCAATTACTTCAAGAAGAACCCATTAAACGTATCCTCAAGCCCCGTCTCCTTCTGCGTACCATAAAAATCAAACTTCATCTTTGGGCTGGCGAATAACTCGGAATCCCGCTTGACATTCTTGGGGACGCCTATTCCATCCAACCCTTTTGCCTGTCCCACTCCACCCTGTGCATTGCGCGTCTCCTTGAAGAAGTTTGGTGTCGTGTTTTTGAGTGGCGGATCCCAGATGCCCGGTTTCCATGGATTGGCCTTTGCGTGGGCGGGCACCTTGGGCGCATCGGGAACACGGTGGCGAAAAGGGTTGGGATCGGGCTTGCTGAATAAGGAGACGGGCTCGCGGTGGGCGTAGTGAGGTTGTGGGGAGGGGGAGCGCGTAGTGTCGCGTTGAGACCATTGGTTTGGCAGAACTTGAGGCTCTTGAGAGGCGAAGCGGCGGCGAGTGGGTGTCCAGTCCATATCATCTTGGTCGGAGAGGAAGGCGTTGCGCTCGAAGAGAGGGGTTGTGACGTCCGAGTAGGGAGTGCCTCGCGAAGATTCTGTTGCGGTAGGCGAGGGAGGTAGGTTGCTTGTTTCTTCGCCGTCGATGGCGGGTGCGAGGGAATGCGCCATACTGGAGTATATGTCTGCATTTGGGTGGGCGGAGCGGAATGCAGAACCTGGCGTTGATTTTTGGGGGGTGCTTGGGGCACTGAGGAGGGTGGGTGATGTGGCTCGTCTGAAGGTGGTTGGGGATTGGTATACGATGCGTACGGTCTTCCAGGTAAGGATGGAACCAAGTAGAAGTATGGTGATCATCATTGCGTGCATTCGCTGAAAGTTTGCGAGGGAATTGTAATCGACAGTGACGCTTTGCCAATAATAGAGACTCAATGATCGCAAGGCGACTACTGTCAAACGGATCGACCAAAGAGACTTCAGACCAACCATACGGCCCGTGAGAACATTTGCCATGGCTTCCAGTCTGGGGTTCCACCATACGGATAGGAAGTCTGCGAGTGTTGCAATCCATGCGAGGTTCACTACGTATTTGGAGAGTACGCAGCTCTCATCAACTGAGCGGACCGAGACAGCCTGGCTAAGGCATACGTTTAAAAAGAACTTATCATCCTCCCACATGCCGTCGTTTGGGGCCATCATTAGCCCCATTGTGTGCCAGAATATCCCTGCAACCAAGCTCAAAAGGTATGTCCACTTGCCTGTCGACACAATCCATGATCTGATCGTCTCTCCCCAAGTATGTGTAATGGCCCGTTTCTTCTCACTCATCTCCATGATGCGCCGCAGATGGTCAGCTCTGGCAGCATAGCCGGCATTGTCTATCTGTGCCTGGACCCGAGGGAGGCACTTTGCGCAGACTTGCGGGTATCTGCTTTCGACTTCAAGCTTGTAATCGTCGTAGGCTGCGATGAACTTTTCGTAATCCGGGTCTTCTTCATCTGGAAGGTATTCGGAGAGGAGTTTGGTGTAGACAGCTTGATTGCGCAGACAGTTGTCGCAGAAGAGGTTCTCGGCGGGTGCATGCATGCCGGGCGTGGGGGACCGGGATCGTGCGTAATGGTGTGAGGTGGAGGTTGCAGTCGTAATCTCTTCTAGAGGTGGATCGGCGATGTTTCCGCGCTGCAAGATGGGAGGAGGCGTGAGTTGGGGAATGCATGGGTGCGTTGGCTGTCCTTGGGGATGGTTACCTGGTCAAAGTGATTGAGTGCGTCGCAATGCGGGCAGAGATATGTTTGTGGGATTTTTGAGACACTGTCGCGTGACTGCACATTGCAATAGTGGCAGCGCAGCCTGCGCCGTAGCAGTGGCATGGTGAAAGGGTGTGGCCTTGGGCGTTCGTGGTTGCGTTTGTCGTTGTCGTTGTCGCTGTGGACCGGCCTGTCGTTGCTGCGATGTCATCAGTTCTAAAGAGCCCTTTTGTTCTGGGTGTTCTGCCGCCGGGTACCGCTCTGGCACTGGCGCGAAATTCACCATGGCGTCCCCAAATCATCAAAAGACCCACGTTTGGCCGGGCGATAGCACATTGCTTGTGGGGAGAGAAGAGAGAAAGAGCAAACTTTGGTCTTTATTGCATTGAGTTGTCCCAAATCACATACGAACAGTCACCCCTTCCCCTACCCATTCACCCGCCACCTGATGGCTCGGTAGTCCGCAACAACACACCGTCACCCCCCCCCTCCTCCATCATCCCGCCCAGGATGAGAAGTCTGATTGCCCGTCCGGGCCGCAATGCTGCTCGCCAGGCAAAGAAGCTCGACGAGATCCGCAAAGTCAAAAACGCGATCAAATGGCACGAGAGGGAACGAAAGGAACGTCACAAAATTATGCATGAACGGTGGGAGGGCAAGCAAGCTACCAATCGACGCGTTCAATGGAAGGCACTCAATGACAATGTGCGCAAAGATGCCTTGGCCAGGGTGAAAGAAGATTGGCGACTGGGTCCTCTGCGACCTAATCGCGCCTTCGGTGAGGGCAAGCAGAAGTACGGTGCCCAGACCACCGAACAGCTGCAGAGGCCCGAGTTCTTGCTTTCTGAGGTGAAGCATCGCAACGAGTTGAGGGAAAGGAAGGGCTTGTCTCCAGTGTATCCGCTTGTCGTGGATGACAAGTTGTTCTTCCCTATTGCAGCAGATGATCGTGTTGCGATATTGAAGGGAAAGGACAAGGGCAAGATTGGTACCGTACAGAGTATTGTGGAGTCCTCGCATCAGGTCATTGTCAAGGACATAAACAAGGTAGGTAGCTCCCACATTGTCCGCAGATAATCGACTGATCTGCCCAGCAATACATCGACTCCGACCTGTTCAACAGATCTGGTCAAGATCTTGGTCCAAGGCATGAATCAGAAGTTCCCATTAACATGGAGGATGTCCGCCTCGTCATACCCTACGAAATCAACCAGGGCGGAGTGCGTCGCTACACAGATGCCATTGTCGAAGAGATCCGCATGGAACGCCACACCACGGGCATAGATCCTTTTACGGGTACCGACTATGGCACTGGCGAAATTCCCAAGGATCATCAATATGATCCCAAAACCGGTCTTCCTATCTTCAACCGCTACATCGCCGGCACGCAACAGCGCATCGAATGGCCCTGGGAAAAGCCAAAGGTCATTAAAAACGATGATTTCCCCCCCGAATCCTCCAAAAACTCCAGAAAGAAGAAATCCTTGGTCAAACAAGCCATAAACTCCATCAGACATCCCATCACCAGCATCAAGAGCTGGACTAGCAGGCCCCCGAGGAAAGTCAAGCCTCCGACGAAGGTCACGAGAGCCCGCAAACGCGTTCTCACACCCGAACAAAAAGACAAAATCGAGCAAAAGCGGTTCGACGCCCGTGAGCTCAGACAACAGAGATCTATCCCACAGAGTCATAAGTCCAAACCCGCTCAAGTCCACGACGGCGTAGATTCGACGAGCAACATCGTCGAAAGTGCAGAAGCTTCATGGTACTCCCTCGTGCAATCGCCATTCCCAGAGACACTAGGCTCCGAACTCCAAGACGAAATCCACGACCACAGGATCGAGGTGCGCAAGTCGCCCGATGCGCCACCAAAGATCAAGGCCAAGCACAAGAATGTCAAGTCAAAGAAAGTGTTGAGGGCGAGACAGATGGGGATCCAGAGTATGAAGACGCCTCTGCAGTTAAGATGGGAGATGGAACAGGCGAGAAAGTTGGCGGATAAGAAGAAAAATCCCCTGGTAGAGACGAATGCGTTGTTGGCAGCGTTGGGAAAGCATATGGTGGAGAAAGGGGTGAGGATGCCGAAGCAGGCGAGGAAAGTAGAGTCAGATGTTGATTAAGGTGGGCTTAAAGTCACACGGATAGATGAGGACTTGTGTGTATATGCGGTGTAGATGTACACAGTTCTTGCATGTATGATAATGTGGATTTTGCGATGTGGTATCCACTCGAATTGTTTCCTTGGTCTATTGGGCCAATTATGGGTATCTCGCTCTGAAATGAATTACAAACGCCAATTTTCCCAAGTACGCATCATACATGCCAGCCGACGCCCCTCATGAATAAATGGTTCATCGGTCACCTCCCCACGGATACAACCCTTCATCACACCAACACCCCCCAGAACTCTGCTCTCCCCCCAGCCCCTTCCAGTTCCTCCCACTGCACCAAGAACCGATCCACAACCCTCAGCAATATCTTGCCACTCAAGCTCAGCGTCTTGACACGCGCAAAACTCTCCACATATACCGTCTTGCACTTCCCCCTTGAATTCGCACCCTTGACGTCGAAGAAGCGGAGTATCAGACTCGCTAATATGAGGATGACGGCTGTTGCGGGGCCGTTTGTTAGTATAAGGTCTGGGACGTCGGCGGCGGCAGCTTCATATGATGTGCTTGGCTGCTTATTGGGTTGGAAGGGTGGGGCGCGAAGAAGCGGGGAGAAGCAGGCGTAGAGGGTGTAGAGGCATGAGAGTGGTGTTGTGAGTAGTGGCTGGTGGATTTTACGGGCGCGGGGCACGACGGCGATGTTGTAGTGGTCTGGGCCTAGAAAGGGCTTTCGAGGTTCGCGAATGGAATTTGCGCGTGATCGAGCGCCGGTGGTGGAGGATCGCGGTCTTGTTCTTGTTGTGCCGTTTGGGTCTGTGACTTTGACGTCGACTGTGCTTGAAGATGGAATATTGGTATTAGAATTCGCGCCGGCCTTGTTCTTCTCGCGCTCCTCCATTCCGCGCTCAAATTCTACGGCGCGTTGTGCGCTGAAGGCATCGCCGCTGCTGACGACGTATGTGCGGTGTGTGTATTTCGCTGGGTCGAGGTCGCGTATTAGGTGAAACATTTCATGGGTGTGTCCTCCCGATCCTAGAACAACGAGGACCCGTGTGGCCAGCGGAGGTTTGCGCCATGGTTGCGTTTTTGGGCGCGTGTTTGGGAGTATAGCAAGGAGGCGGAGGGTCGCCGCTACGAGAAGAGTGACAAGGACAGCAATCGCGAAGGAGAGCGTGTAAAGCGAGGATAGCGGGGGTGCCATGGCGAGACGAAGTAGAGGTCGTTGCAAAGATTGCCTAATGTATCACTTCGTCAGTGCCGTTGTTCCCTTCCATCAGGCAGGGACACATGGAAGTATTCACGTAAAGTACAGGAGAGATCAACAGCCGACGAACCTGTGAAGGTACAATTACATGTGAAGTCCATTGACCAATGAGAGCCTTGCTATCGACGAGGCGCGAAATCACATGACCTATCCATTCTCTCCCTTTGCCGATCTAGGGCATGCACTTATGCGGTACAACACGAACTTGTGTGAGCTTCCTGGGTACCTTCAATAAATAATATTTCTCCTCTCTCCCGTTCCAAGCCGGCTTATGCTGTCAGTACTTACTGCATTCGCGTTTCCATTCAAAGCTCCGACAGTGGCCTTACCTCATGGCATGCATACACCCCTCA